AAGGGCATTATAAAGTTTCCAAATCTTTCTGCAGCACTAAAGATTCTAAGATAAAGGAGGGTAACTACCTTTGCAGAAGACCGCTTACTACTGCACATCAAGATCTGTTTCAGAGATTCACAAAGGAGACAGGTCCTGAGCAGGGATTTCCATTTAGGGCTCCGGTACTGTCCGAGAAAGCCCTCCTGTTCTTATTACAGAAACCAGGACAGTGACCAGAAGCCTGCACCTCGAGGTCAAGTAGGCAGGCCTTCCTTCCTTCTTTCAAGTAATCTCCACTGACCACCTATCAAGTATGAGGTTATCAGTTTGGGCAAGACAGATAAAGCTGTTGTGGAGTTTCCATGGTAGGGGTGAACACTGACCATTGACATGGACATATGGTACTGTAACACTGGCTCTGCCATGAGGAAACAGACTGGTGACATAGCCCAAGTGGCTCGTCCAAAATCTCAAGTCGGGCAAGGCACCACAGCTCACTGTCCTGACTCCTGCTCTCTCTTCCTCCTTATCTGTGGCCCTCTTCTCTTTGCTCAGGAAGGTCACCCCATTCACACTCAAAAAGCTCTAGTCACCAAAGACTCTGAAGCTAATTAAATTCTTTCAATCCTCAAAAATGCTACTTCCAAATGAGGACTAAGAACTAACTAGACCAGCACCCTTTGGGGAGAGGGGAGTTTATCTTCAGTGGGTAGGTCTTAGAGAGCATCCTGGGCTGCGGGAATCTAGGGCAGCGAGCCTTTCCGGTAGTGATTTAGATTTTCAATAAGGTCATATGGCTAACTCAAATATCCAAGGACCTTGGTTTTCATACAGTATCAATTACACTAAACATTTACAGACCGTTTAGTGTTTACTAGCATCCTCCTGTATAGAAAACCCATGGGTTAGGTTCATTCTCAATCATGAGGAAACCCAAATCCGGAACTTCAATAGTCCGCTGTTATACACAGCTGGGCCTAGGTTCCAACTTGAAGTTGGACTGAAGTACTTGGGCAGATTGGGATAATTAACACAAACATCAACATTCAAAGAAACGGAGCGAACCAAAAGCACCCAGGGTAGCAGGAGTATTCTAAGAAACATCACACATGCTCAGCATGGGGAAGCCACCAAGTTGGCCAAGATAAGGCAGGCAAGTGGGAACTGGCGCTTAGACCCTTCCCCCAACGCGAAGGAAAGGCATCCCTGAATTCTTAAAATAACTCTCGCTTCCTCTTGGCCAAGGCATCAGACTGCTCCACCGAGGGCGGAGAGGAGCCGGGCTCTGCAGGAGGGCGAGCACCAGCCTCCGCTGCAACCGCTCGACGTCACCATCCTGCAGCTAGCCACCAGGGACCGCGCGGTCCGCTTGCCGGGGAGAGGCCGGGGGCCGAACCCTACTCCTCATCCCTGGGGACCAGAGAGCTCCATCTGAGAAAACCCCTCCGGGATCCCCGCCGCGTCGGCTGGGGATGGAAGGAGGTTTCCCTGCCGCACAGGGGGAGGCCGGAACGGGGAGGCCCTCGGAAGGACCCAGGGCGCTCCTGCCCCTCGCACCTCCCACCACGCCCCTGCGCCGCACGGCTGCGGACACCTGCAGAGCCACCGCCCCCGCGGCCGCCCCGGGGCGGGTCACCGCGCGGCGGGCTGGCGGCATCTGGGCGCTCTCACCACCCGGGGCGCGCGATCTTTGCTGCCGCGGCCGCAACGAAGCCCGGATCCGCAGCCGAGCCGGCGACCGGCGCTCAAGCCGAGTCCCCGGCGCGCTCCCCGCCCCGTCCACGCGCGCCGGCGCCCACCCCTGGTCGAGCCCCGGACTCACTCGCTGGCGGTGGAAGTTTCGGGGCGGCGGCGGAACTCCACGGTGACTTCAGTTCACAGCCAGGGACGCGACGGCACTGGGTGGCGGAACGCGGGGCAGGGCTGGCGGCGGGTGCGGGGCCCCCGCGGCTGGCGGGTGACTGCAGCGGGTAGGGCCCGTGGCGACACGACCGGGAACCGCGGCCGCCGGGACCTAGGGAGAGGAACTGGCTGTCGCTGGGCTCAGCCGAGAGGTCCCAGCTACTTCCTGGTGATTGGATTTGCATACCGCGCCCGGAGGGCGGGGAAGTGACCGTTTGGTTCCTGTCCAAGGTTTGGTATTTGGTGTGGCCGTCGCGCAGGGTTTTGCAAGCAAAGAAACCTGGAGACCCAGCGTGCAATTTGAGAGAGCCGGGGCAGCTTCGGAGCCAGCGTTCTTCTGTCCACTACAGGCTTGGATGGAAGATCTGAGGGTTCTGGGAGCGAGGAAACCTCACTTACCAAATTTCCTTTCCTCTGACCCCGCTCCTCCAGGTGTTAGAGGATGGGTTCTCCTGGGAGCAGAGGTGGAGCTCCTGACCACCACTTTTGAGTTCCCTGGAGAGAAAAGGGAACCAGCTGAGTTGGTGCTCAGGGATCTCTGCGGTGTGTGTGTTTGTTTTGCTTTGCTTTTTTGTGTGTTTGTTTTAAGACAAGACTCACTATGTATCCCTGGCTGGCCTTGCTATGTAGACCAGGCTGGCCTCGAAGTCACAGAGATCCTCCTGCCCCGAGTGCTGGAATTAAAGGTGGGTGCCACCGTGCCTGGTGCTTTTTGTGTTCTTAATAATCAAAACAGAATCGATTCCTTAAAGGTTTACAGTGAATGCTCAAGACACTCACTGGGGTGAGAGGATGGTGGTGGCTGTGGAGTTAAATGGCCTGGCAAGTGCTCAGTTTCTCAAAGCCTCCTGGCATAGAGGGCTCACACCGCAGCTAGCATGCTGGTGGCTGTTACTCACGTGTACACAGCACTAGGCACTGGTGCCTAACCAGTGATTGCTAAAGACTGCTTGTCCAAACCCACGTTTCAACTCGATAAATGCCACTTACCCAAAGTGTACAATTAGTCTCAGTCAGTGTGAATGCCCACTTGTGCTAATCTGACTTCTGACCTTGTAGGATTAACAAGGAAAAGAGTGGGACACTGTGAAGACTTGGTTATTGTTAGCAGGGAGCTGAAGGCACTAGACACTACTCTAAACACTTCTTTTCTTGTATTAGGGAATAGAGACAACAGGCTTGCCCCCAGCTGCAGCCCAACAGGTCAAAGCAGGCTCACTGAAACAAAATTCAGGACAGCAGCCATTTGTTACTAGTAGAGGAAGACTAACATTGGCAAACTAATCCTGGTAGCATGATGATGCTTCCATATTTCGGTCAAACAGGGACGATGTATATGAAGATGATACCATAAGATTATAACAGAGCTGAAAAACCTCTATCATCTAATGGCATCATAGCTCGCATAGCATTGCAGTGCAAGACAATTCTAGGATGTTTCTGATGATGCTCCTGCCTGCAAGCCCACTGTCCTGCCAGTCAAATAACAGTACTGCACATAACTGATGCTAACAAGTGACTGTAACTGGTTTATGTATCCACCATAGTGTACTTCTTATCATTATTTTAAAGCATAGCCAATTCATCTTTAAAAAGTTAAGTTTGGGACTGGAGAAACGGCTCAGCAGTTAAGGGCACTGCCTGCTCTTGCAGAGGACCCTGGTTTGATTCCCAGCACCCACATGGTGGCTGCAAACCGTCCTTAACTCCAGTTCCAGGGGAATCCGAAGCCTCCTTCTTCTGACCTCCGAGGCATTGCATGACATGGGTGCACCCACATACATGCAGATAACACACTCATACACGTAAAATAAAAATAATAAATAAAATATTTTTTCAAAAAAGGTTTACTATAAAGTGCCGTGCTCGGTTAGTCAGTAGCAGCCCCATCCATCTGTCTTGATGCAATAATGAGTCACATGGAGCCAGTGACCTGCCTAGAGCACTTTGGTTTGAGAGTGTCCTCTGTGGTGGAAATCACGTAACAGTCCTCTTCTCAAAGTGATGGGGCCATCACTAAGCCACACATAGCTATATATTTCCAGGTTTTGCTTAAGAGTAAAGTGGGTTACCTTGCAAATCTGTGGTACGTATGAGTTATATCCATCAAGGATCCTATAGAATAGTTCACCACCTTAGAGCCCATGTCCTTGACTTTTCTGAACGATGTCTTCTATACTTTGGCCTTAAATAATAATACTCTTACTACTGAGTCCTTGAAATCCTAACTAGCTGGGTATGTTGTAAGAATAGGATTAAGATTATTTTGCATTGACTGATCCTCTTAATTTTTTTAATTGTTCGATTTTTATTTTATGTATGAGTATTTTGCCCGCATATAAGTGCATTCATGTCATGCAGTGCCCGCAGAGGCCAGAAGAGGGCATCAGATTCCCTGGACTATAGTCACAGACAGTTGCTGGTGGCCATGTAAGTGCTGAAAACCAAGCCAGGGTCCTCTACAAGAACAGCCAGTCCACTTAACAGCTGAGCTATCTCTCCAGCCCATTTTTTAAAAAATGTCTCTTGGAGTCAAGAACAAAGCATTAAGTAGACTTGATTCGCACCCAGCTCCACACAACTCCTCACACATGAGTGTGCTATCTAAGTCTGTAACTTATTTGAGAATAACTACCATTAACCTTCCCACTTCTCAGGCTGCATTTAAATATTCCAAACACTTCCTCCACCTGTGTTCCATGTCTGTCTTTCCTCCTTAAGGCAAAATGAAAGCTTTAAAGCCATCATTAGTGGCCTTCCTTCCTGTACATCTATAGAACTTACAGTGTGAGTGGGAGTGTAGCTTAGTGGTGGAGTGTGTGCTTAGAACTCACAGTGTGAAATTCATTTCACTTAGATCAAGGCACAGTGTTTTGGGCACTGTTTGTTTCTAATGTTAGCCTGCCTCAACTACTGGTAAATACAAACTCCTTTTTAGAAGATACTGCCCTTATTTCAGTGTTTCCCATTGTACCTGCACAAAGCTCTGTTGGGCACTTTAAATACTTTATTAATACTGATTGATGGGTTAGTTGATTGACTGATTTGTCTCAACAGTATTCTGTTTTTACTTATTATTAGTATGTGTGTATATGATAGGTATGTGAGTGTGTGAGTGTGTCCAGGCATGCAAATGGAAGTCAGAGGTCAACTTTTGTGAGTTTTCTCCTTTCATGATGGACTGGAACTCAGGTCATAAGGCTTGAGTCAAAAGTACTTTTATGCACTGAGTCATTTCACTGGCCCTCAACAGTATTCTCTAAAGCCAACGCAGAGATGGGTTTCAAATCAGTGAAGACCGCCTTGGCAGGCTAGCTTTGGAGAAGGACAGGAATACAACTGGCAATGGGGAGAGGAGGAAGTTAGGAAGCATATTAACTATGTACAGTGTTTTCTTCAGATACTGTGTTGGTGAATTCAACAAGTCACTAAAACATACCTGCAACACTTCATTCAACACACAAGATGCTTTCCCTGTCATTTATAGACATGTGCATCACAGAGCAGTTAACATTTCTGAGTTTTCCAATACATGCATTCCCAGCTGAGGTAAACAAGATGGCACTATGCCTTCCAGTTTCCACTCTCATACTGTAAACAGTGGCATTTTTTATTTAGTACTGTTTTCAATATGTTTGTGCTTTGTCCCCATACCATGGCACTGATGTGCCTCATGGAGAAAATACAAGTGTTAGATGAGCTTTAGGGAGGTGTGACCAATGGTGCCATTGGTCATGAGCTCACTGCTAATAAATTGACACCATATCACTAAACAGCAACATAAAACAAGATTATGTATTGATCAGTTGAAGAAAATGTGACCAAAGCTACACAGGAAACTAGCCCTATGTTTCCATTAGGAGTTGTGCCTGTTAATTTAGTGTTCACGGTAACTTTATAGAACAGATCTACCACAAACTATGAGAATTGGCTGTATGTTAGAATGTCTCGTGAGATATGCGATCTCAAAGAAGGTTTTTTTCAGCCCAGGCTGTCACTACCACATGCCTAATCATGGTAGTCACCGCTGCTGAACACCCTCGGTATGCTATGCTGCATTGTACAATCTGCAGCTCATCCTACTGCTGTGGCATGGACTGTCCCTGGTGCCCCTTCCACTTTCCCAGACGTCTGGTACAAGATTTCTGCACTCAACATAGACACACTTGTAAACTCTTCATATGAGCCCCCGGTTGGCTTTTGGGGAGGGGCAGAGTTGACACAGAGACTCCCCCTGACTCCTGCAAACATGGCCAGAGACCCATGTGGCCCAAATGGCACTACTACCTACAATATCCTCAAGACGAGACCTACTCAGATCTGAAGGGGAAACCCAGAAACTCTCAAACTCCCCAGATTGCTCCAGTGAGCAGCCAAGACTAGGACCCACCAGGAGAGAATCAATCAAATGTCTGGAAACAATATGGGGTATAGTTCCCAAATAATTGGGTTTCTGTATGTCAGAAACATTCCTAAGAAAATTCTGGAAGCTTCTCATCTGAAGCATTGAAGATTAAAATATCTAAGGTTAAAAGAAAGGAAATGTTTAAAATGATGAAAAGTATGTTTCAGTTTGAATCTGAAATGTCCCCCAAACTTGTTCCTCAGCTGGTGGCATTGTTTGGGATTGCTGTGGAACCTTTAGTAGGTGGGAGTAGCTGGGTCTTTGAAGGTTATAGTCTGTTCCCTCGTTTGGTCTTTCTGCTTCCTGGTCCACCATTATGCAAAGAGCCTCTGCCATTTGCATCTCAGATAATGATCTTAGCTTCCCTTCCCCTGAGCCCTGTTTGCTATGATAGATTGAAACCCTCTGAAATTGTGAGCCAAAATAAACTTTTCCTCTCTTATGTTGGCTCCGTTATGTATTTTGGTCACAGCGATATGAAAGTGTGATAAAGTTCAATATGCTTGAACGTTTTACTTGAACTTCAACTTGAAGTCTCATATAAGGCAAAGGCACTACCTCTAAGTGTGAGTCCTCTGCTTGGCATCTTTGTTACTAAAAGGACACCCATGATATCCCTGTGTTCCAATTACAATGTTATTGAAGCCTCGGGAGGGCTTGCAAAGTCGTGTTTTCCCACAGTCTCCTAACCTTTTATGGCTACTACATCCACACCTAATTCAGCATAATTTTTTGCATTTACCTCTTTACCAGTGACCGTTTTCACATATCCCACTTAGTTTTATATAATAACTACTTTTTCTCTCACATTTTTAAAGTTTCTTTTTAAATTCAATTGTCCATTTGCAGTGTGGGTACAACGAGCAGCAAAACTGCTGGCTTTTGGAAAGTCGTGTTCCAGAGATAGAGGGTTCACTTTGCTGAAAGAGTACAGCAGTGTTTTATAAATGGAAACAAAAGTGGTGGTTCATCTAGAGGTTTCTGGGAAGAAGGTGATTACTGAGATTTCTGTCATAACCACCATTAGTCAGGGACTGGGCAAGTCCTTTAACATTAGAGCATCCTATTCAATCCTCCCAACTGCATTCCATTTTCTATACTGTGCAGATAAGAACAGCTCACTTGTCCAATTCACCTCTGTAGAGTGGAAGGGTTGGATTTGAACCATAGTCTGTGTG